CCCCAAAACCCCAAAACCCCAAAACCCCATAAATTTAAATTTATAAAAAATATAGATTAATAGGGAAATAAAATTAAATATTTAATTACTTTCTGGCTAGTCTATTTAGATTAAAATTTTATATTCAATTAAAAAAAATGTTCCTAGACTTTGTTAAATTATTGACACTCTAAACTTCGCTTCTATCCTCTTTAATCGAATACGAGCCAACCATTACCAATGTTAACATTATCATGATTGGAATGAATAGCATCATTCCAGGTTATGAGAGTCTCAATTGGTTCAGTAATCAAAACAATAATCAATATGCAACAAATGATGATGAAAAATGCATTAACTTTAAGATTTCTCAAGCTCTTCAATGGAATACTGTGCTGTTTCAGAACTTTGGACTTGATAATTTAGTTATATACTACAATTAGTAGCATTATACAAAGCAAGAAATTATAGATATAGTTCAGACTTAAGAATAGAATTTTAAAGTGAAAAAATTGAAACTCCGTTTATATTTTGGAGAACCTAAATAAAATGTATCTATTAAAAAGCTTTTCGAACAGTACTTGTATTTAAGCAAATAGGATATTCCATTTAGTGGGTCTTTTGAAGCTTTTAATTTTGACTATGCAGATTAACTATTTCAAAACTTCCTTAAATGGAGAATTTCAAATCAGACTTAAAGTTATTATAAGATACCTCATCCTAAGATAAAAGAATACAAAAATGAGTTTCTAGAAAGAGGACCTCCTCCACTGTTCAATGACTACCTTATATATTTGTATTCAGATTATGATATCAAATCATTATAATACCATGAATTCTTCAAGAACTTTTAATAACAGCATCTACTTAACATAACAAGCGTTGTGATAGGATATACAGACTTGACATCATCAATATTCTGGGGAATATGGCGATATTCTTTACCTTTTGTAAGATTCTATTCAGCAAAGTTGCCAGGTTATTTTTCCTATAATTACGAGCCTTTAGATGCAGGAAAATATCTCGATTATTTAAACAAAAATTCAAAGAACTACTAAGCAAATTAAAGACTAGTAAATTATCAACTTTAAGATAAAAGCTAACTGGAAAAGACTTGGCATAAAAGACATTGTGAGAACAGGGATAAAATCCCCAAGTTACTAATGGAATGGTTTCTTTATGAGATTTAGGACTATGACAAGATAATTGATCTATATCTTCAAGAGGAGAAATACTAAAAGCTAACTGGGTTCGGTCTTGCAGTTATAGATAAATATGACAATCAAACTTTTGGATAACCCTTCTTCTATGGAATGAATAAGGCAAATAATAGTTCTCCAATGAGAGTATTGATGATGGCTTAACCATAAGGCCCAGCTTCAAGAAAATAAACTTTATACCTAATGAGTAAAGGTTTTATGGTAATGGGGATTTCATCCTACAGAAGTTTCCCTGTATTTAATAAGTTTGAGAATGATACAGATTGGACTATGCAATGCTTAGATAGAACCTACTTTGAATTGATGAAAAACTTTGCCGGATTTTTCCATAATGTTCGCAATCCTAACTAGGAGCTTAAAAATATAGTTATTCCAAGAATAAATTTTGCTCATTCAGATATGATGTTGGATTATACCAAAGCTCATATGAAAGATCACGAAGATTTAAATTTAACTGCAAAGAATAAGTATGATATAGCTTTTTCAATGCTAGGGAACAAAACTTGGCATGAAAACACTAAAAATTGGACTTTTGGGCAGGAAGTCTATGATAAATTGGTTTAAGCAGGAAAGTATAAAATTTTGCTAATTGGAAGAGATTTGCCTGAACGATGGGTTGGAAAAGTTGATCATGTTCCATAGCTCAATTAATCTGAATTTTTCAAAACACTTGCAGTCACAAATATTTTGTTCATTCCAAGCGTTTCTGATGCATCTCCAAGAATTTTAACTTAGGCTTTATGCCTAGAAACAGCTGTCATTGTCAATAAGTATATCGTTGGTGGTTGGAAATACATAAATGAGTAAACTGGTTCATTCATTGATTAATCTGATGAAATTTTCGGATTAATAGATGATATTAGAGATAGGAGGGAAAAAGGAATACTTTAGCCTAGGAAATGGTTCAGTGAATTTGCAAAATATAGCCACTAACGTTTTCAAATAATGATCGAGTTGATGTGGTTTAAATATGGATATGATTTTGACATAAATGGACTTGAAAAAATATATGATAAATATATAATTTGACCTTATCAAATTAGATATGTTTAGATGAAGCATTCTTAAATTTTACCTATATTGATTACATGATGGGGTTTTGGGGTTTTGGGGTTTTGGGG